GAAGAGATGGATGGTGGGTCCTGAATAGTTCACAACTTTTAGACGGCCAAGATTCATTATTGATAAATATTTTATTTGTGGTCCAATAAGAATAGATATAGTGATTGGTAAAGAAACTAGTTGAATCAATTACGTGTGCAATTCTTATCTTAGTGATGGTATATTCATCGTCTTTATTCCTTTAAATAACGTGTGCAATTCTCTAACACTCTTTCTAGGTGTTAGTGACTGTTCTTTATATAGTTTTGTGAATAATGGGTGCATTATCTGTACAGATTATATAATATCAGAATTACGTATGTATCCATCTCATCTCACTAGGTTTATTAAGAATTTAGAAATTTTATATAGTTAAAGATTTTAGAAATAAAATTATACATATTTAAATTAATTACATACTCGTTGTAAGTTGTAATATACTTCATCATATTATAGCAAAAGTATAACACAAAGTTAACGCTATTAAAAAAGCGATGATGAAAGTGAATTTCAACTTGTTTACTCCAATATATATAATTTAGCTAATAGCAATACCCACATATGGATGATTCAACATCAATGAAAAGTTTCCAACAGCCAACAGCAATGGGGTTGTGAACAGTTCAATGTCTGAATTAAATTACTATTAAATTGACCCTTAGCTAATAGGAATACTGTTAGGAGAATAAAAGAATGAAATAGTCATTGAGAGAATTTTTGTGTATTCTTGATAATCAATTATGTACAGTGCTTGTCTTTATATAGAGAGAAGAAAGAATCTTTCAACAACTAACTATGTCACCTGGACTATGATTATTAGCTACTCTAGAACAACTTACTAGATAAATACAGAAAAGGATAATTTATCTAGAAGGAAAGAATCTGCACACACACTTTCTCTTCTGACGAATTGGGCCCAATAGAAACTGGATCCATTTGAAATAACAATACTTTGAGCCCAATCAATTAGTAATACCTAGTTGTGAAAGTTTTTCATTTGTGTCTGTTGGATTGAGTACACGCGTCTTCATCTCTTGTCAAGTCCTGAAGCTTCCAAATATCTTATAATTTTCACTTTGGTGTGAAACTGTCTCTCAGTCATGGCTAAGAATTGTTTGAGCATGGTGAAAGCATTAGACTTATCTTTGAGGAGAAATGTCCGTGTCCCTCTACTATAATCATCCACTATAGTAAGAAAGTATTTGTAACCATCACAAGTGTGTGTTTTATAAGGTCCCCAAGTATCAACATGAATAAGGTCAAAGATGTGTCTAGTTGTTATAGAGCTAGAAGGGAAAGGTAATTTGACTTGTCTAGCTTTAGCACAAATATCACAAGGTTGAAAATTAGAAGGAGAAGAAGAATAAAAAATAGAAGAAATGCATTTCATTTTAAAAAATGGCATATGTCCCAATTTATTATGTCGTAAACTTATATCTTCAGAAATAAAAGCTAAACATAAACTAGGATTATAAACTAGTGTACAAGAATTTTGACTACAAACAAAATGGCTAAAAGCCTTGATTAAATTAGAGACTACTACTCTAGGCTTGATAAACTTGACTTGACCGACTTGGCTTGAATGGACTGAATTTAAGAGATAAATCCCCTTAGTAACCTTACCAACCACCACCGGCCTCTTCAATGAAGGGACTTGCAGTGTTGCACCAAAAGAGGAGAAAATTAGAAGGGAATGGAATTAAAAACACAATTTGTGCACTGATAATAAGTTGTAGCTGAAACTTGGCACAAACAAAACATGATGAAGAGTAAATCCAGGTAAAATGGTTAAATATCCTGCCTGATAAACTAACACCTTAGTAGAATTAGGCAACCTTACATAGACTGGTTTAGGAAGGAGTTTGACATTAAATAGAAGCTGCAAATCAGAGGTCATGTGCTCAGAAGCACCTGAATCTAACATCCAAGAAACAGAAGGAAGAAGAAGAAGAATTAGATATACCAGCACAATTAGCACACAATATTTCCTCATTTGTCTGCTCACTTTGAGAACTAATTTTCACATGATGAAGCAACTAGTAAAGGCTGTGAAATTGATCCTGTGTCATGGGTTGATCTCCTGCAGTGCTTGTCTGGGAGTCTGATGTTTCCATATAAAGTACTGCATTGCTCTTAGCTCCATTGAATCTTTTGGATTTAGTGAACTTAAAATTTGAAGGAAAGCCAATCAACCTATAACAGCTTTCAATAGTGTGATTATGCTTCTTGCAATAGTTGCAGAACTGAGTTCCTTTCGTTATTTTTGTGTTGAATTTCTTAGCAGAGGTCTTCTTCGGTCCTCCATAGGACCGTTGAGCAGCAACAAAGACACTTTCAGCTGGATGGTGAGAAATTTGTACTTCTCTTTGCTTCTCATCTTTGATAAGCAAAGAGTAGGCATGATTGACTGTAGGCAATGGTGATAGCATAAATAGATTGCTTCTGGTTGTTACATAAGCATCATTCAGTCCCATAAGGAACTGAATGAGTCTGCTATCTTGCTGAGATTTGAAGTTTTTGATTTTACCACCACAACTATAGGGATAGGTACAGTGTTGACACACATCCAGGCTGTCCAACTCATCCCACAGTCTTTTCATCTTAGTATAGTATCCTGCTATATCTAAATTTTCTTGTGTTGACTCAGTGATCTCCTTTTGTAGGTGATAAAGTTCTGGTCCATTACTCTGACCAAACCTTTCTTCAAGCTCATCCCAGATGTCCTTGGCTGTTTGGAGTATGAACACTCTCAGCTATTGCTTTAGAGAGTGAGTTCAATAGCCATGAAATGACCATGTCATTGCAACGGGTCCAAGATTTGAAATCATCAGAAGAGATTTTGGGTTGAGAGAAGGGTCCATCAATGAACCCTACCTTGTTCTTCGCAGACAAGTCTATGAGAATACCCCTTCTCCAACCCCCATATCCTTTTCCATCAAAAGTAGTGTTAACAAGAAGCATGCCAGGTGAATCTGAAGGTAAAAAGGATGAGAGGGTTCAAAAAATGCAGAACCAACTGGTGAAGCACCAACTATTGTCATCTAAGGAGAGCTTGTTCCTATCACAAATGGTGAATTAAACTCGTGTTGATCTCCCATAATTGAGTGAAACATAACAAAGAAGGAGAGAAAAGAAAATTAAATAGATTGAAAAAGGATCGAGCGCTAAAGCTCTGATACCATGTTAGGAGAATAAAAGAATGAAATAGTCATTGAGAGAATTTTCCGTATATTCTTGATAATCAATTCTGTACAGTGCTTGTCTTTATATAGAAAGAAGAAAGATTCTTTCAATAACTAACTATGTCACTTGGCCTATGATTATTAGCTACTCTTTAGCAAATTAGATAAATAGAGAAAAGGATAATTTATCTATAAAGTAAGAATCTGCACACACACTCTTGTCTTCTCTTCTAGTAGGCCCAAGAAGCTTTAGACGGATTGGGCCCAATAGAAACTGGATCCAATTGAAATAACACACTTTGCGCCCAATCAATTAGTAATACCCAGTTGTGAAAGTTTTTCATTTGTGTCCGTTGGATTGAGTACACGCGTCTTCATCTCTCGTCAAGTCCTGAAGCTTCCAAATATCTTATGCATCTATTTTGTTTGGATAGAACTCATCAACCTCGTTTGTGTCGGTCTTCTTCTTCACAATTTCAGCTTCCTTTACTTTGCAATTTTTCTTCGAACCACAATTAATTTCTGGAAATTGTGAAGCTCCGACTCCAACAAATACCCATAACTATTCTATTACTACTTCTAGAAACCGATGGCAGAAGCTATAAATAAACAATCTTGAAATGCTCTAAGCTACAATAGCCACAGTATTGTCTCTCTTGAGACCATGCAAGAAAACCTTCTGTCTTAGGCATCAATCAACTAAGCTTCGATTATATGAATGCAATCAGTTCCAAGTAAGAGATTGTTTTTAGATGGTTAAGTGTTTATCTCTCTCTCGTCCAATTGACGACTATTAAAGATAGTTAAATCTTTACTTCTTTAACAACATCAGTTTTTGAATTTTGTCATTGCCTTTTCTTTAAGGTGAAATTAAATCTTTTTAAGAATAAAATGAATCTCCATTCAAAGGTAAAAATGTTCCGCTACACCTTATGAAATGAACAGGTTAACTAATCTTATGATCTTCCTTGTTCTTCTGTTGACTGTATCTTAATAAGAAAAACTTTTAATTATTGGAGTTTCTATAATGGCTTTGATTGATCTCTCCATTTTTTTAAAATTAAATAACGAGTTTCCCAGATAACCAAAACGCAAAATATACACGTCTAATTTACAATTTCATGAAAATAACTACACTGTAATTAAAAATTAAGCTCTAATACACATTGGTGTGTGTTTCTCAGTCAACAAAAAACAATGTAAAAGAATATAATACAACGCACCTAGACTGTTTTTCCCTTGAAAAGTACTAGTAGTCAACAAATTTCATGTTATCTAACTAGTACTAGTACTTTGGAAGCTAGATAACAAGAAGAGAATTGATCGATAACAACATCAACCTAACACTTGTGGAAATTCAGTCAGGTGGAGAAAATCAAATACCTACAAAATCTCCTTTTTTTTTGTTTTATTTATTTAAATAAAACAAAAAAAAAAGGAGATTTTATTTATTTATTTTTTCTTTTCCTTTTTGCTCGTATTGTATTCTTCCATATTCTTGAACTGCTATAATTTTAAACTTCACTTCGGTTGGACCAAACTTTAGATTAAAAAAAAAAAAAAAAAGAGGAAGAAGAAGAGCATGGCTCCTTGTGAAGCGGGAGATTATATTTATAACTTTTTTTTCGAAAAGGGAACAAAACAGAAAAAGAGGCCACCGGAAAGAACATACAGTGAAATTATCCCAAATTTTTTTGCAAATAAGTTAACAATTAAAAGATGAGGAAAATATTGTGAGTTATTGGTCCCATTACATTGAGGGGCTTTTCCATACCTGTACACTATTTCAAAACTTATTACGAAAAATGTCCATGTTTTGGTATTTACCCGATCTAAACACATTTTAGTTATAAAATATATACAATCCACCTTAAAAGGCTCTCAAAACCATTATTTTGTGCCTTCAATCAAAAGATTTTATTATATCCTTTTCTTTCTTTTTTTTCTCCTCTTCTCTTTCCTCTTAAATCGAGCTCAAAAGTCACAACATGGAAAGTTGTCCTTTTATTAATCGACTTTTGCCTGTTTTCTTTCACGGCATTGGATATAGTTCTAATTTAGTTTTTGTAAATTAGTTTTTGCAACTTGCATTATTCAATAAAGGACTTCCTACCTGGACTTTTTTTGGTTTCAGGAGAACAATTATTTGTTTTAAAAAGAATGTCAAACATCTACGGTGCAATATTACATTGTAAATGATTTTCCCAAATAAATACTTACTTTTAAATCCAAGGGATTTAGCTACATATTTAATACACCTCTTAAGAATGACGTGGGATAGCCTTAACTTTTAAAGTATTTGTTTAAACTAGCCTGTATCTCTTTTATAATTATCTTTTTTCTATGATCTGGAGATTTTCCCAGCTATTTCTTATTGGATCACACTCATTACTTACAGTATACACTTATTTACAATTAATCTACAACTTTCATACATTATTTCTACACAGTTAAATACAACTACAATATCATACAACTTAAATATAATTTTTATATAAATTTTATACAATATGTCTTTTGTATATTTTGTATCTGATTTATACATAGTAAAAACAAATTTCATACTAATTATATATTATACAACTTATCTACAACTTTCATACATTATTTCTACCTAGTTATCTACAACTACAATATCATACAACTTAAATACAATTTTTATATAAATTTTATACAATATTGTTCAACTTTCATACAATATTTAAATAAAAAATATATAACTATATCAGAATACAATTTTTCTACAACTTTACTATATTTTCGTCAGTATAATGTATGTCATGTCTTTTTCTTCTTCTTTTTCGAGTTTCAATCTGAAATTCAGCCAAAATCAAGTCTAATCTTCACCAAAACACCCTCCAAATTGAGATATAAACTCCAAACAATATTCTCAATTGTTTGCAACAACACCCAATCCAAACAAATAATGGTTTTTGAAAATCCAAATTCGAATTCAAAGCTTCAAAGTTTTTTATGGCTGTCAATGGTGGAATTGCTGCTCTTTTTTCCTTTGCTTTACATTACTCGAATTAGGGATTGAGAAATAGAGAGAGACGTAGAGAGATTTACCAATTGTTTGCAACAATACCCAATTCAAACAAATAATATTTTTTGAAAATCCAAATTTGAATTTAAAGCTTCAAGGCTTTTTAATGGCTGTCAATGGTGGAGTTGCTGCTCTATTTTCCTTTGCTCTACATTACTGGAATTAGGGATTGAGAGATAAAGAGAGACGTAGAGAGAGAGAGAGAGAGAGAGAGAGAGAGAGAGAGAGAGAGAGAGAGAGAGAGAGAGAGAGAGAGAGAGAGAGAGAGAGAGAGAGCATGAGGGAGATAGAATAAGGATGGGAAATAATTGATTCCTAATATAAAGGGATACTCATTTAATTCCTAAAGTATATATAATTGGTAAATTTGTAGATAGGATGTAATTAAATTGAAACTTGAGCAGGGAGGACAATAAAATTTTCAATAGTGTGTAGGTATGTAAAAATCTCATTCCCAATTGTTTGCAACAGCACCCAATTCAAACAAATAATATCTTTTTAATCCAAATTCGAATTCAAAGCTTCAAAGCTTTTTAATGGTTATCAATGGTGGAATTGCTGCTCTCTTTTCCTTTGCTCTTCATTACTGGAATTAGGGATTGAGAGATAGAGAGAGACGTTGAGAGAGAGAGAGAGAGCAGGAGAGAGAGAGAGAGAGAGAGAGAGCAAAACGGAGAGCGAATAAGGATGGAAAATAATTAATTCCTAATATAAAGGGATACTCATTTAATTCCTAAAGTGTATATAATTGGTAAATTTATATATAGGATGTAATTAAATTAAAACTTGAGTAGGGAGGGCAATAAAATTTTCAATAGTGTATAAGTAGGTAAAAATACCTTTTTAAAGATGCAAAGGCCCAAAAGCCAAAAAGAGAATTAAAAGGGGATTTTTACCTTCCTACACTATATATGAAACTTTATGAAAGAATTACAAGAAAATACATGTGACTTCACACCATAACAAAAAATGGCCCATATTTTTAAGTTTACTCGACTTAGCCCATATTGTACATATTTTGAAAGCACTAGCAAATTCAAAATCTGTGTTCTTACAACCATTGCTACTAAAAGCTATGGAGTTAAATGTGTTCTCACAACCATTGCTTTCACTCTCTTTTTCTCACATCTTCTACATATGCTTCAAGGGGTCATCCGCCATCACTGCTTCTACCTCTGTGTCACCTGGTTGCAATGTAAGAAAATTGAAGAGTAGAAGTTCACCATTGAAGGACATTCAAAGCTTTGCTTTCGAAAATAAGATTTTTTGAGTTTGTTAGTTGCTTAGATTGGGTGTTGTTCCAATTGATTGAAAATATCAAAAGGAGTTCAAAATTTTAAATTTGAAGTGATTTAGAGTAGATTTGAGCAAGAATTGAGTTAAATTTCAGAAAAGACGCAAGGAAGAAGACGAAGTCAGTTTTTTTGTATAATTATTTAATCTTGTATAATAGTGTATATGAGTGTATAAACATATCTTATACAGTATTATACACTTTTATACTGTAACGACCCGACTGATCGTTTTGAGCCCTAGCGCGTCGTTCAGTAGTTTGAGGCCCTGAGCAGCTTCACTTCAGGTATTATGACTTGTACGCATGGTCGGAATTGAATTTTGGGAAGTTTGGAATTTATTTGGAGTGAAAATTCTCATTTCGAAAGCTTTAAGTTGACAGCATTGACTAAGACCGGATTATGAGTAAACAACCTAGGAATTGGGATTTGAAGGTTCCAGCAGGTTCGTATGATGATTTGAGACTTGGATGTATGTCCGGATCGGGTATTGGATGACCCGGGAGCGTTTTGGCGCCTATTGTGGAAGTTAGCATATTTGGAAGAATTTCATAAGTTTGGGTTGAAGTGCCTTTCAGTGTTATTAATAACTGTGATTTCAACACGTTTTATGCCCATACTTGCCTATGCTTTATGTATGAATTGTCATAAAATAGACCCAGAATGCTTACAAAGTGCGCTTGATTGCAGGTTTGAGCGACAAGATGACAAAAGTCAAAAATCGGCTCGAAACGGAGTGAAACCTGCTCAAGTGTCAAAAATCATTGAAGTGGGGACAAGAGGACCTAGCGCGGCCCGCACTGTTTTGCTGCGCGACCGCGCTAGGAGATTCATAGAATATACATTTCAAGGCTAACCATGCGCGGTCCGCGCTCCTTTCTACGCGGTCAGCGCTTGTAGAGATTTCCTTCCACGCGGTCGCGCTTCATTGTTGCGCGGTCCGCGCCCATTAGCCTGCGCGGCCGCGCTACCTTTTTGCGCAGTCCGCGTCCCCAGCTTCAGAAGTGAGTGATCGAGGACCAAGACCCCTACGCGGCCGC